GTGTGTGTGTGTGTGTGTGTGTGTGTGTGTGTGTGTGTGTGTGTGTGAGACAATAGAGCCAGGAACTATTGGGTTATTTAGGTTTAGAGATCAACTTGTGCCAGTGATCTAACCCCAGGACACAGTAATAGTCAGGTAGCCACACAAATTCTCCAGTATGCCAGCTGTGGGGCACGTTGCCTACTAAAATCTTGAATGAAAGTGTGTGTGTTAAGCAAAAGACTGCCAGCCTTGCAAAAAAAAAATGGATTAGACAGAGGTCAAAGTCTGGTTGTCTGGATGACTCGTCAGTGCTTTCTCTGTTCTGTTCATTCACAGCAGGATTGAAAAAGATGAAGCACATCATACCATTACACCCATTTTTTTAACCTCAGTAAATTTTCACATCCAGTTAATCTATGTTCTTTCTCTTTACACAAACTCTCACAAAAGGAGTTCACCCAGGTATATGAATGTAGCCAAAGTATAACTGGTGACTCTTTTCAGCATTTTTTCCCATCTAACTGAGTGAGCAATCACTGCTGTTGATCTTCTTTTTAAGTTTAAGTTGCTGCTAACCAGCCGGGACCCTTTTCATCTCATGTTTCCCTACTAACACGCTGACCATCCATAGTTGTGGCAGAGCAAAAATTAGCTTTTTAAGAGATGATTTTATTTATTAATAGAAAAAAGCCATCTAAACCTGCCTGAATAATTCCCCTCTAAACCTAATAAGTGATCGCGCCAGCTTTGATAGCAAGAACTGCAATCAAGCATTTGTGATATCTGAAAATGAGTCTTTTTACATTGCTGTGGACTGATATCAGCCCCCTGTTCTTTGCAGAATTCTTTTAATTCAGCCACACTGGGGGGTTTTCAATCATGCCATTTAACATAACTTAAATTAATACTTTAACTAGGCCACTCCAAAACCTTCTTTTATTGAACGATTCACAAGTGGACGTGCTGGTGTTTTTTCAGGTCATTGTTGTGCTGCATAACCCAACTGAGCTCGAGCCTCGGGCATGAACTGATGGCTGGACATTCTCCTTCAGGATTTTTCTGGTAGCAAAGCAGCCTCAGACCACAACACTATAATCACCGACTAGTTGGTACAATATTTTTCTGTGAAATACGGCGTTAGTTTTATCCCAGATGTAATTAGTTTTTCTACACAGGATCAGGTGTGTTTGCACAGCTTTTTTCCCTTAATAAATAAAATCATCATTTAAAAACTGCATTTTGTATTTATTTTTTTTAATGATTTGAAACATGAAAAACAAATATTAAAAATACTAAGAAATCAAGCAGGGGGAAATTGGTTTTATTCTCCTATTTCCTAGTTGTTTCCTTTTAGTATGGCTTATTCTCGTTTGCCTTTTTTTCTCTTTTTACCTTTTATTTCTTTTTAGAATGTCGATATTATATATTTTGTTTTGTTTTTAGGTTGCTTTTAAGGTCTAGCCAGGGATTATGGATGAAAAATTAGCCTACGGCTACCACTGGTGCATTTACAGCAATGTTTAATAATGAACATTGTCCCTGTTACAAATAAACAAATTAAATAAAAAGTTAAAAACAATAATTGTTGGCACCAGACAGTGTTTAGATATCACATTGTAAACTGTAGACCTTTGTGCTTTGCAGTGTGATCGTTTGCAGATACACGGTGTAATGAGATTTTATAGTTCTAGTGTTTTTAAATAGTTTATTGTTGTTGTTATGTGAACCATCAAGGTCAAAGGCTCTTGGGCTAACCTAACCATGCGCCAAATCAGAAAAAAAGCTCAATTTAAAGCATCATTCCCAGACATTAATCACCCCATGAGGTGAGACTGAAAATGTCAGACAATTTTTATGCGGTTGACATTAACAATTTCCATGATTACAGGTTGGTAGGACACTGCCACCACCCTCAGGAGTGGAAGAAAATAAGGGCAAGAGAGGCGTTAAGAAAAGGGGAGCATGGCGGAGAGTTGATTATGCTAAAAATGGATTACTCCGGCCTTCAGTCCCTGGAAGGCAAGCCCATCCATTCCCGGGCTATTGTGTGTTTGCCTGTGTACGTGCTTGCCTATGTGCATTAATCCTCTCACCGCTCCGACAGGGAAGGCCAGGACGGCCATCATCCAGTCTCGCAGGCCAATCAGCTTTCTCAGCTGCCGCTCCTGCTCCCTGCTGTCGCCTCCCTTAGTCAGCAGACTGGACACATCGATCAGGACACACAATCCGAAAAACACCGCCTGGATCACCTGCAGAGAGGAACAGGGGGAGTTCAGCGAGCTCTTTGGCAGCACAAACACTTTCTCACAACAAAGAGATGAAGAGAGGAGGAGAAAAAGAGCTTAGACGGTAGATTTTTCAGAAGAAAGAAGAAGAGCCAAAGAGAACAGACTGCAAACAATTGTTAACTCTTTCACTGCTCACTTCTCCAGTCAAATTCAATAAAAGCGGTTGAAAGAAAAAAAAACAGGCTGTGCCCAGGCACAGAGTTACAAAGTCTTATGATTTAATAAATGACCAATGTTATGCTAATTCAATATATATTTATATCTGCCACCACTCACCTGAAAGTATCATGAACCAGAGCAACAACACAATCGTTATCTGCTATAACTACAGAGTTTCAAACCTCCTCTGGCATTAACATCAGTACAAACACTGTATGCTGGGAGCTTCTTGGCATTGGTTACCCCTACAATGCCTGTAGGGGTAATCTGCGGGCAGGCCAGTGTTTTTGTCCTCATCATTTATGTTTCAAATCAATTCAACTTTATTTATACAAATCACAACAACAGTTGCTTCAAGGCACTTTCTATTATGAGGTAAAGACCCTGCAATAATACAGAGAACACTCCAACAGATCAGATCACCCCCTATGAGCAAGCACTTGGTAATAGTGGGAAAGAAAAACTCCCTTTTAACAGGAAGAAACCTCCACCAGAACCAGGCTCAGGAAAGGTTGGCCATCTGCCACAACTGATTGTGGATGAGGGGAAGAAGACAGGATGAAGACACACTGTGGAAGAGAGCCAGAGATGAATAATAACTGATGATTAAATGCAGAGAGGCGTATAAACACATAATGCTTGTTTACCAGTTCAGCTGCCGATTAGCTCTTCAGCTAAAAGGGCTACGACAGCTACCGTGTTCAGTGTAACAGTTTCTCCCATAGACTTCTATTAAGAGTTATTTGAGTGCTGTTCTGGCTTAAGTTTGCTTCCAGCAACCAAAAAAAGCCCACAAATATTCTCTTAGCAGTTAGGATTGGGTTTAGTAAAGACCAGCTGTTGGTATTAACTAGTTCCAAGAAACTGGCACCGTGTTAAAAAACTTTGTACAAAGTTCCTTTAAAAGGGGTCACCACAGTGGGCAGCATTTATCTGCCAAAAATGTGGAAATCCCTTGAGTTTGTTGGCAGATCAAAAAGTGAAATGAATTTTATTGACTGAACAGACATTCTGTGTTCTAGTAGCTGCATTTCCAGCAGCGTAAAAGCATCTTAGCAGCTGATTAAAATCAGTTATAACTTATATACATTTTCTGCATCACTAAATGAACACATGCACATTCCCCTACCAACGTGACGCACAGTTTGCGCTTCATTTAGTCGCTTCAGTGTGGTACAGTTTAACAGCTTGCAAGTGTAAAGCACAGAATCTGTAATGTACTTAAAAACCGACCGATTTTAAAGTGAAACTCAGAACAAGCCTAACCAGTTTGTTCAGCAGAGGTCACCATGGTGATTTACACAGTTAAAAACACACACGAAACTCTGCCTTTAAGCTCAACAAAGCTCGCAAAGCCATTCATTTTGCTTCATAGTACAACTTCAGAGGGCACTCTGGAACTCCACTGTTGGCGTTACTCGTGTTTGGAAAACCACAAACACAACAAGCAGCTGATAGAGTCGGGTTGAGCGTAAACGAAGAATCCGCGATTTGCTGTGAAAGTGAAGATTATTAAGGTTAATGAAGTCTTTTTAAAAAACTGCACTGTGATATCATCCTAACAAGAACTGATATAGAAGTACATTAAAAAAAATTGTTATAAAAAATGTTTCGATATGAGACTGAGAAAAATAAATGTCAGGAAAGATATTGTTTTTTATTAGTACTTTAATTACTAAATATCATTATTGTTTTTTAAAAGCCTACATTGGTCAGTCTCTATCATAGGTTCACAGCTCTGGCTGCTGCTCAAACCTTCTACTTGTGAGGGACAGCCAATCACAAGAGTGTTTGCAGAGAAACAGGCAAAGGGGGAGGAGCTAAAACAGCTAGGACAACTAAGGGTCATTTTTAATCAAACCTACTCTTGTGTCCAAGAATAAAAACATGGAGCTGGAATCCAACATTATAGGTCCACTTTAAATAACTTGAAGTTTCAGTGGGTTTTGCTCTTTTCTTTCTAAACTTAATTCAGAAATCCAGTGAACAAAAATAATTTGCTGCCTGCAAAAGGGAGGAGGGATATTTCCAATTCATGCCCATCACTTAGCAACAGTGCTCTCAGGCTTGAAACACTTAAATGCCAAAGACATCCTGCACAGTTCCTGTGTTAAACAGAACCTTACTTAAAAGGCATTATAGTGTAGTTACTGTATATCGAGCAAAGAAAATGGTGAAATATACATGACAATAGGCCATGCCATAATAAGATGCAAAGACCCTGAAGAGCTTTCCCTTTAAGCAGGTACAGTGAAGAAACTAGCAGCTATAACTGGCTATTATTGTCGCTGATTACCTAAAACATACAGAAAACAGTTGGAACAATCTCTAAGGGCACTGCTGCATGAATCCCCGTGAGCAAAATTGAGCTTAACAGCTCTCAAACTGACTTCTGGAGTGTTTGTCCAACATGAAAGAATCCTCCACCAGCAGAAATACTGTGACCTGTGTGCAAAAACTATTCCTGACGAGATGCACAATATTTCAATAAAACCACACGTGGCTTCTTTCAACATGCACCAAAAATACTTCACACTTCAAATGCTCGATTTCAATAGAATCTCCATTAAGTGGGCTGTGGTGAAGGAGAAAACCAGCTCTGTATATTTTACCCATCTTTGCGTCGTAAGGAAACACTTTCAACATGTTCACAATGACGGATGTGACCTTCGCTTCCAGAGGAAGATGGAGAGGAGGCACAGACTACCTCTCCTCTCCTAAAACCTCCTTCTGAGACTATTAGGTATCGCCCGGTGTGATGACGGCTGGTCATTAGAGGCATTTTGGCTTTAAAGCATAGTTATGGGTGCTTCGGTATCTATACGATTCTGCTGGTGAATACTGGCATTTTACAGCGGGCAGCCTAAATAAATGTGTGTGTCTACTCACTGAAATATGTGTGGACAGCAAATATAAATCTTAGACAGCTAGCATGTCTAAAGCAGCATGCCTGCTACATAAATAATAGGTTTCCATGAGAACTATGAGCAGCAACAGCACACTCACAGGCACGCACACAAGAAATTCTGAAATGGACCTAGAACTCAAGCCCTCGTTTCCGTATCAATACTGCATCAATTTTGAGGCTTTTGTGTTCCTCGTGAGAAACTGATACACACAAACGCTGGAGCCAGATGTTGCAGCGCAGTGTGTTTCCTGGCTGCTGGTGTGTACAGGTCTTTCATGGTACAGTTAACTGGGGGAGAGGTCTAATGTGGAAAATATGACACAGCTATTTCCCATGCTCACAAAGACACAGGTATGCTCTTCAGAGATTATTTTGCCTTTAAAAGGGCCTAAACTAAAGTTTATACATGCCAAATTGATCAATCCCATAGATTTATAAATATCTAAGGATCATTATTATTGTTATTATTACTACTACAAGTAAAAAATTTGAAACAGGTAGGCCAGACAAACCTGTTTCAGCTGATCGGCTATAACTGGTGACAGGCCAATCAGTCACAGACGTATTCAGTTCTGAGCCAATTTAATTAGCCTGTGCTGCTGCCTGACACGCACCTTATCAAAAACGTAGCTATAGAAACGTGGCGTGCTGATTTGTGCAAAGATATTTCTTCAGAGGAACAACATGTGATATGTAACGGGTCATGATTACATCTGGCATCTTCATAATGCTAATGCACTAACTGGTAATCAGCGAACGCAGCCATCTGCTGTTTTTGTTTTATAGCTCTGCTGATCCATGTGTACACTCAGATGGTTCGGGCAAATTGTGTTGCAGCAATTTGAAGGTACACTTCTGAACTTTTTCCCCCCCCAACATGTGCCTCTGTTTGAAGTACAGAAAGAGACGCCATGCATTACAGAAACCTTACCACCGACTAGTATTTTAGAGGCTAAACTGCAGAGCACTGTAGGCACGTCACATGTCTAACACGTCACATCGACTTGGATATACTGTAGCTATTAGCTAATTTAAAGAAATGTTGAATATTCTATTAGGAAACTTCCTTGAATGAGAACGATAAAAGCCCCCCTAACCTGCTGATAACTGTAACATGTTTTTTATAATGAATATTTAAAGAGAAGTTTTATATAAAACAGTTATTGTATACTTTCAAAAAGAAAGTCTAATGTATTCTAATCCTGACATGTAGTATAGCCTGCAAGGTGTCCTTATATTGGCTTTCGAGAGATAATGTGCCTATTTTAGAAATGTCCAAAGTCTGCATTAGTAGGTTGGAGGTGACATTTTCCCCCCGAGTTATCACCCAGGACACACCTTTGTGTTTTGCACTTTGCTTCTTTTTTTCACCTCACCTTGTGCATTAATGAGCCATCGCAGCCAGGGATGAGAATATGGCTAGTGGCCAAAATCGATTACATTTGTAAAAACTGTTTAGCACAATCAGTGGAATCTGAGCATTTTTACATATGATATGTGTTGTTGTTTTACTTTTCTTTAACAATGGATGTCAACCAGTGAATGAACAAACGCATCGACATCCCTGCCGCATTTAGATAACGACAGCAAGAACTCAAACGGTGCACGCAAAACAAGAAATGTCAGCTAGCTTCCTCTTCAAACACAAACATTGCAGAAAGAAGACAAACTCTGGCTGGATATTTCTCTAAAATTGGTTAGCTTTTTATAGCGACTTCACACCAACTTTAAAGCGTGCTTGTGAATGACTGCCTAACAGAACCGGCCTCTAACAGAAGTCCCTCTTTGTGAGTGCATGTGTGAGCGCATTGTTCGGGATGAATGGGAGCTGTGTGTGTCTGCAGTTTTGTGCCTCTCATTGCAGCATAATTTCCTTAATTTAATAACACTTGAGAATCGAGAAAACTGATTGTGAACACTAATGTTTGGCCTGTTGCTGCCTCTCAGCTGATATGTTAAGCAGCTTTTACAAGTACAGTAAAGAGCGCCGAGACAAAATGCTCGTTGTGCACATTTTATGGCCTCAAAGCGACACATGTGCTGCTGCTATTGAAGGAAATACGCGGTGTACTTTAGCTCAAGCACTTCATTTTGCGTTGCAGCACAAAGTAAATATTACCAGTGCAAAAACTTCAGCTTCCATCATTGCAGCTTCAGGTTTTAGTAATCAATTGCTTTGTTCGACTGGCAGCAACTATAATAATATAAAGTATGTTATCAGTAATTAACAATATATTCAGAATAAGAAGTTTGATAACGATAAACTCATCTAACAGAGACCAGGACAATTTTAAAGCACAAGAAAACAAACACTATCGCTCTGTCAGCAGTCACCACACAAATGAAAACTCAGCTGACACGATTTACTGATCTCTATGGGAGAACTGATTTTATTAGAGTCGCTACTGTAAGTAAATAATGGCTGATGATTAACCTCTGGCAACTCTCATGATGTCTGGCTACCAATGCAATGCTGCGCTTTGTATCATAAAACTAATCAGATATCTTTCTAGATATTTAGGCCCAAGGTAATCACAGGCAAATATCATGTGCAACGCAGTACAGCCCTGTTTAGAAAGCATAAAGGCAGCAAAAAGAAGCATGAGCGCTTCCTTGTTGATGAATCACAAAAACTTGGAAACTAAAGTGAGTGAGAAGAAAACAAAAGATTTTAATGCAAAAAAAAAAAAAAGAAGAAAGAATTAGGGCTGTTATTACATCAGGCTTTCAATACAAGAATAAACCACAGAATTCACTTCAATGACATTATTGCATGATCTAAAAAAACCTTTTTAATTAGATCTTACTTTTTTTGTTCATATCTCTGTGTTTGTTAATGTGTGTTCTGCACATTTTTAGAAAATAAAATACAAATATGTTTAGCAATGTGACGAGACAACAGCTGCACAAATGGATGCAAAAAGAGCACATGCACTGAATGGACAGTGAGACGTTATGATACACCATGTAAGTGTACAAGAATAAAATCTACACGGGCACAATCTTCAAAGAACGCTGACCACAAACGCTTTATTATTCAAGGATAGGGGATGCTGCGCATTTTCACTAACACCATATTTTGACTTTCAAACTGACAGACACTGCGCTCTCATTGGTCCACACCTTGTCAATCACAAGCTTCTGCTAATATCGGCTTTCAGTGTTGTTTTAACATTATGTGTCTTTAGCCCCTGAGAGGTCACTCTCAAGCACTTAAACATATTTCCTTTGCTGTTAACACAAAATTTATATCATTGGGTCAAGCCTCTTCTTGATTTTGATTGGCCACTGAGAAAACAGGGACACTGAGCACTGACAAAATTCTGTGCATTGAGCTGCCAACTTTGCAGGTGATTGCAGGCGCTTATCTTCTATCCAGACACTGTACAGAAGTTTTTGTGTTTTGTCTGGGCCTGATCCTGTGTGATGATCTACACCTGATGAGGTGTGGATAAAGGTATCAGTCTTTATGTTGTGGCTTTTGAGTCCGGTCACAACGATTAATACTTAAATTCAGGTCACATCATTACTGTTTACTGGGGTCACACAGAAATCTAAACGTTTTCCTGTAGACTTCTATGCAACCAGAAGACTTTCTGCAAAAACAACAAACACCTTCTGCTGGTTTAAGCCACTTTCTCCAAACTACATCTGTCTTGTATGATGTCTGTAAAGTGGAGAACTAATTTATAAATTAAAACAAGCAAAATTTGTTCACAAGCAGGACCTACAGATAACTTATGCATATTTCCATTCCCTTATGCTATTAGCGTGAGTGTGCACGATGATCAACATCATCAACCCAAAATGCCTTAACCGGCACTTTAAGAAGGCCACCAGGAGTTGACCCTAGTGCTGTGTGACTTATGGGATGTCTATGTGAAAGCATCCCTCGGTGTCCTTGCTCAATGACCTCGGTAAGCACTTCGGTAGATAGCTTCAAGTTTCACTGAATAAAACATCAAGTCTATTTTATAGAAATCATTTCATTCTGCAAGTCAGAAAAGAGAATTTTCCAGAACATGTTCTTGAGAAGGTGATTAGAGTCTGATCTAGCCCAACAGTGCAACCATCCCAGTGGCTATGTCCATTTTTTATATATACAGTCTATTGTCTAAGAGTGTAAATCCCACTTTCTTAGTACAGATGTGTTCTGGGCTGCAGCTTGTTTCAAACTTCTTTAAAACACATAAGAAATAACTGAGAAATTGATTGACAGTTTATTACCTATTTTTTTTTCTTGTCCTACAATCAGCGAGCACTAAAAATCCCACATCCCTGTCATTTCTGAGCCTCTCAGTCCTTCGTCATCATTTTCCTGACACTTCCCAACTGCAAGCTTTCACAAGGTTCGGTGCACCCGCGGCGCGCTCCCGCAAGGGGAAGCCTTTATGACGGGAGAGCTTTCTGCCCCACAGCGCACCTGTTCCGGTTCACTTCAGCACCTAACCACGTTGCGAGCTTCAAACGCGACTGCAGACCCCGTTTAGTGAAACTCCGTGTAATTTACCCCTCCCTCTGCCACTGCCGACGAATCATCGAGCCAAACAAAGAGCGCAAGGAGGCGGAATTTAAATGTGATCGCAGCGCCACGCGCGCACTCTCTCCAGCGCGTGCATCGCCTCGAGCTGCGCGGTAACTTCACCGGGGTGTTTAGGGTTGAGATCAGATTAGACGTGAAATCTCACCAGGTCGATGAAGGTGAGAAACTTCCAGCTGCCTCCGTAGGTCTGGTGTGCCGGCATGTCTAAGGCTTTGTAGTGGCACAGGATGGAGAAATAAGACAGCAGGATGGCGACCCGGAGAACCTGCGAGGGGATCAGCGCCATGATGCTCGCTTTGCACCTGTATCTGTTTGTCCGTCTACCTGCCTGCGCTTGTTTTCACCTCCCTAATGTCTCTATGTGTCCGTATTTTTACTTGGCTTAACCTGCCTGCCTGTCCGTGTTTTTCCTGCCCCCCTACTGTCTGTGTACTGCTTCCGTGTTATGGTGATGATGAAAGGGGGAGGAGTGTAATCCCCACAGTCCGTGCAGTTATAGCGGGACTTGCTGTATAAACAAAATATTCGATTTATTTTTGTGTTTCAAAGTAAAAGGACATTAAATGACCAGCATGAAGAATGAATACTTTAAAAATATATTTGGGTAAAAAAAAAAAAACTTTTTTCTGACCTTCAAGTGTAAAATATCGCATAGATTCTTCATATATTTCTTTTTATTTTATTGTTTGTACCCTGACTCTCACCGTCTGACTCTGAATTGGATAACCAAAACAAAAAGTAAAGATGGATTATTTAAACTTGTGTGGAAGCAGTATGTTGCTGTTTTCTTAAAGAACACATAGCTTGAAGAATATTAGAATAAAGCACACTAGGACAATTAAAAAAAATACACATAAAAGCTTAGTTTAGTTTAAATCCAAAATAAAATTGCAATTAAATAAAAATCAATCTGCACTTAGAGATACAAATGACCCAAAGGTTGGGGTACTGTGCATTCATTCAGCAGGTGGTGCAGAAAATGTTGATGAAACTAGTGGGAATAAAGCCAGTAGAACAGTAAACGCATACCAAGAATACCTGTTTAATCAATAAGTGAATGAATAATTTCACTTTGATATACCAACAAACTGACACATCATCTCCTTCACAGGACTATGTCATGGTAGCCCTATAATGTGTCAGAGCTGTAATGTGCAACCAGCCAACATATTAAAAATAAGTGTCAGCAGTGAGAGCGCACTCATAAAATAACTAGTAAAAAACTAATTAAAATGTTTGTTTCACCACTGTGTGTAATAAATCATCAGATTTATGGCTTTCTGCAGCATTAGTCTCTTATTTGCAACAGTATTGTATGTTGCTGTTACATTTTGGGCTTTTTTTATAGTTTTTTTAATCGCAATTTTATCATCTATTAACAGCCGATTGAAACAGGCAGCACGCATCGATTCTATATGCACATATGAAAAATCATACGACACGTGAAGCAAAAATCACACAGAGGCTGAAGTGAAAAGCTGATAGCTGCTGTAGTGATGGCCGTTATCTTAGACTGGAGTTTTAGGTTTTATAAGGGTCAGCTAACGAAAGCATGGCATTGTTTAACATACTTTTTTTTTAAACCTGAGCCATACCAAGTGTCTCTGTAGAAATTATGTTCAGCATCCCCATAATTTCGCCTTGCACTTTGTCACTGCCAAGGAAATTGTTTTGAAAGGTGTGGCCTTTTCTGGCTTCATGGTCAGACAGTATTTTCTGTTTGATTTAGAATTATTCTTTTTCACTGACATCATCTAAAGAAGCAACAACATCTGAGAATCATCTGTTAGTCTGGAAAGGGTTATAAAGCCATTTCTAAGGATTTTGGATTCCAGTGAAACCACCATGTCCATCCATAACCGCCACCCATAAATAGAGAAAACTTGGAACAGTGGTGTGCCTTCCCAGGAGTGGCTAGCCTACCAAAAATTACTCCAAGAGCACATCAGTGACTCATCCAGGTGGTCGCAAAAGAAACCAGAAAAACATCTAAAGACCAGCAGGCCTCACTTCTCTCAGTTAAGGTCAGAGTTCATGATTCAACAATATAAAAGCGACTGGGCAAAAATGACATCCTTGGGAGAGTTCCCAGGTGAAAACCACTGCTGACCAAAAAGAACACAAAGGCTCGTCTCACAATTGCCAAAAAAACATTTTGAGGATTCTCAAGACTTTTGGGAAAATATTCTGTGGACTGACGAGACAATAGCAGAACCTTTTAGAAGGTTTGAGTCCCTGTTACATCTGGCATAAAATTATTTATACAAAGAACGTCAAGCCAGCAGTTAAATTTGGCAGTGATACAAATCTTAAGATTGGACCAAATATCTTCAACAGTGATGTGAAAGAGTCATTACCAGTTACACTGTAACGGCTCCTTCTGGTTTTCAAGAGTGTCCACCAACCTGATGGTGGACTTGGTTCATTTGTTTGTCATACCCTTCAAATATTGTTCTTTTTTTAAAAAAAAATACTTAAGCTTTAATGAAAACAATGAATGTAAATGTGTGTCACCTAATTTGATGATGGGGGGTAAACCTGTGTGTTTTTAATAAATCAGTTGCTGAAATAAAAATCAACTGATTTAAGCTATGTAGAGTATTTAAGGAAGCTCTGCAGGCGAGCAGAGAGGTGATGTTGTTGCTATGGTGATGCTGAGCAGCTACTCAGGCAGAAGTGCTGTGCCATCTCTGCACTTACAGCTTTATGGATGGATGGGCACACGAACAGATAGACCTTACACAAGTCTCTTGTGACTATCATGTAATGTGTTTCAGTGTGTTTAGTGCAACATACGTCACGCCTGTGACTGAGCCGCCTGTTCCACCTGCCAAAATACTGTAAAGACCACACACTTATGCCTAAAAAAGTCTCCCTTTTTGGGTTCCTTTGCCAGGCTAAATGTTGCGGTGAAGCTCTGTTTACAGAGCCATCTGTTTGTCTGTTAATTTTTTTGTCTGCCAGCAAGACAACACAAAAACTACCAAACTGAATTGTAAAGGAACTTAGTGGCTTGGTGACACATCTGCAAAGGGTCAATCATTTTATCATTTTAGTGTTAATAGTCATCCTTTTGAGTAAAAATAACATGCTTTGGATGAAGATCCACTTTTCATGTCTAATTACAATGTGAAGGACTCAGTGCTAATGATGAAGCTACAGAGATTTGTCAACAGGATGTGCAGCTCCATTCTAGTATTTTAGCTCATATATTTCATATATTGAAAATTTCTATTCATTTGGATAACATAAGTAGGCACAGTACAGAGGTTATTACTGTTACCTCACAGCAAGAAGATAAATTAATGATGGAATAGGAAACTTCAGTCAGCCTGACTAGCCAAGGGGTGACCGCAAGAGGTGACAGTACATCTATCCCACCATAGCCGCCCATCTGGTTACACCACACAACCAGTGGTTGTGGTGGTTAAGTGGCTAAGCTACCTGTCATAGACCTAGAGTTACTTTCTATTTAGTTTTATTTGCAAAGCCCCAGTTCACAACAGCACTTGTGACAAAGTACCTTCAAGAGTAAAGATCTAGAGAGAATACAGAGAGAGCCTCAGTGATCATGTGATCTAAATAACACTTGGTGATGGTAGGAAGGAAGAACTCCCCCAATTCCCTGTCAGAAACAGGCTCATAGAAGGATGGTCATCAGCTGTGATTGGCTGGGAGCTGGAGCTGGAGCTGTACCAATGCATGAGGAAAAAGACCAAAAACAAAAAAACAGGTTATAGGGGTTTGTTCTCCACCTAATAAAAACTTCAGCTGAAACCCAATTTTGTCACCAAATGTTTTCACCCTTTCAGAAATACGTACTTCTCCACCACAGTGTGGTTAGGAGGAAAAGAAACAGGGGCAGGTGCTATACATGGAAATAATACCTGTCAATGACTGGTTCTTATACAGTAAAGCACTTTTCTACTCTACCTTAGTACTCAAAGAACTCGCTTTGTACAACTTTACCTCATTCGCCTATTCATACAAGCACTTCCTTCTATGCTTAAGTGCTTTCTAGTTAACATTCACACACATCTAAACTCCGATGGGTGGATCCGAGAGCAATTTGGGGTTAGTTTTTTGCCTAAGGATATTTGGCAGGCAGACTGCAGCAGCCGGGGTTTAAACTATGAACCTTCCAGTTAGCAAATGATCTGCTCTACCTCCAGAGCTACAGCCACCCATGAGGTTGTATTTTCCATGAAGGAACGCCAAAACTCAGGAAGCGGATCTAAGTCCACTTCCTGTTCCAGAATATTCAGCATTCCTCCTTGTTCAGAATAGACATTGAGATTATGGTCAGCTTTCCCCTCTTACCTTGTCTGGACTGTCTGCCTGCACTGACGGTTTTGTAAAATCCAGTCCCTTTTAGCTGCTAGATGCTTTCCATGGACCCAGCAAGAGTAATGAATTGATTTGACTCAGTTTGTGACATCTTTGTTTATAAGAGTAGTGACGAGTGATTTAATTTTGTGTGTCTATCAAGTTTGGGAACTCATAAGAAACAGGTCAAAATCAGTACATCCATACTTCCTAATATAGGTCGAGCCCAAAGCAATTAGTTTCTTTTCCATAAAAAAGTATGACTCAACACAGTAGTTTACACTGTAAAACCATTCACACCTGGTAAAACTGTCAATCTCTGCACCCCCAGTTTACGTTGCAAGCTTCTTGTTCTAAATTGGAGGGGTCTGAGCTTGAAGTCAAACTGGTAAAGCCCCCTCTTAAAATACTGAGTCATTTATTTAGTCGTGCCAGAGACATTATGGCTACGTCCACACATACCCGGGTATTTTTGAAAACGCAGATTTTTCTATGCGTTTGCACCTTTCGTCCACACGTAAACTGCGTTTTCGGTCACTGAAAACTGAGATTTTTAAAAACTCCGGCCACGGTGGATATTTTTGAAAACTCAGTTTTTGCATTTACGTGTGGACGAGAAAACGCAGCGTCAAAGGTGTGCGCCTTTTTTGACGTCCCACTGTGCGCCACGTTATTGTTTTGGTGACATGAATTTCTACAATACTGTTACTGTTAATTGTACTCTCTGCAGTGTTTAAATGCTTACATATACACACACAGTTACTGTCCCTCCACACATACGACTCGGTTCTGATTCTATGCCCCATCCTTGTTTACTATTTCCCACCGAGGCTTCTAGACTTCTGATTGGCCAACATTTCTGCACGGTTAGGAATATATCGCCACCTGTTGCTTTGGTGTGTTCCTAGCAGCGTTTTCCTTCATTTCTGCCTTTACGTGTGGACGGGATTATTTTTTAAAACGAAAACGGAAAATCTCCATTTTCAAAAATACCTGTGTACGTGTGGACGTAGCCTATGACTTCATCCAGCTGCCTGCCTGCAAGGCTTGGAACAAGGAATACTGAATATGTTTTGGTGATGATCCAGATTTGGGAAGATTTGGGATTTCCGCTGTTAAATT